GTGGTCATTATGCACCTTAATAAGAAAGGTTTAAAATTTCATGGTTGGAATGAGTTTGGACCCTAATAAAAATCCAGATAAAATGGAAAGAGACAGGAGGCTAGATAGTTTTACAGCTCCAATGTTCTGTCCCATTTCCCAAAATATATTTGTTCAAGTAATTCTAACTGTCGTTGCAATTAACATGTCCTTTCATTTCCCGCTCTGAATTCCCTCTAAGCTAAACACACAATTTTCTTCTATAAATCTGCATGACAAGAAGAGCAGCAAAATCTTTCCTTCTTTTTTTCCACATCATTTATATGCATTTTGCACGGGTTCAGTTGCCAGGCATTTCTCCTAAGCTAATTTCTATGGTTGCAAGTGCACGTATATACACTTGGAGACCCCTGAACGACTTGTGGAAGAAGCCCAATTTGGACAACTGGCCAAAAGGAGTCTTCAGCATTTTCTTAAAGCGAGGAAATATTAAAAAATCAGGTGTCAAATTATCTGCTAAGGGTTTTGCTGCTTGCTCTGGGGAGTGGGCAATGCAGGACTGTCCTGATTCCTGGGTGCCTTACAAGGGGGGGGCTGAGGAACACATTCCATGCCATGCCCATGACACAGTCCCCATCTCTTCAGTGCTGCAGGATGAGCTGAGAGTGGGGGTACACCTGGGAGTTGGGCATGACTCTGTGTTGGTATGGAGGGGACTCTGCCCATGGCTACCACGGGCACGTGGCTCCTGTGTGAAACCCTGACCAAGGACCAGCTAATGACACATGGCCAGAAATGAGCCCAAACCCAAAATGGCCACACCACCTTTTATGCCTACCCTATGGCTGGTGGGGATCCCACCCCTCCTGGCAAAGGAGAACCTTTCTGTGCCCAAATCAAGGAGTGCCCCATGATGATGTGTGATTCCCAGGCACTGAGTACCTTGGGAAAGCTGGTTGTCCTCACCTTTGTCTCCACAGCAGGCCCTGCTCTGCCTGGCAGTAGCTCCTGTCTTTCCACAAGAGCTGAATGCCAGGGCGGCACCTTTTCCATGCTTGTGCGCAATTTGCCTTCTCTCTTCATCTGAAATGATAGCTCCTCTGACCAGGAAAGTAATGACCCTGATACATTATTTCAAATGTCATTTGTGCAAAGTAATTAATCAGCTTAATGTGAGACTGGATTACGTTTTAATTTTAATAGTGCTACATTCTTGCTGTTTTTTAAATAAATTTTCCTGGTCTTTACATTTCAGCAGGGCATCAACTCAGTTAGTTAGGCTGTACCTTGCTGTAATCCCTCCACTGTGGAAATCTGACAGACAATAACCATTATTCAGTGGTTCAGGCATCAGCCTGCATCTACCATGCACATTTATTTTAGTTCCATAAGTCTGCATTAGGGATAATAGCTGAGATCTAGCAGCTGGGACCCTCGGAGCAGTTTTATCTTCCACTGGGAAGTGTGGAGACAATGTTTTCAAAGGCACAAAGCAGGCATTAAATGACAAGTTCTCATTTGTAGTCAGATGGAGATTGAGATATGTACCTGCCATTAACTGTACTGTGCCATTAACTGTAAAGCAATTACTAAACT